GTTTTTTCTTGCCCTGTAGGAAAGCAGTCAAGTCACTCAAATCTTCTGTCTCAGCTGGCACCCGGTGTGACACATCAGGATGTAAAATGTTTCCTCTCTGATAATGGCTCGTCTGCTGCCCTCCCTGAGTCTCTCTGACTGGTCCTGCTCTAAACATTTGTCTGACTGGCTTATTTGTGCCTATATTCATTAATGTCTCTGTTACATTATCTGTGTGGTCTAACTGCTCATGTCTTTTCATATCGTTTCCTGTCTGATTTGCTTTCTGATTTCTTCTGTTGCACTTTCCAATTTATTTTCTTTGTATATATTTATTTTTAATTTATTTCTGTTTATATTACAAAAATAACCAGTTTTTTGCATACACATTGTCCTGAGTCAAGAAGTTCAGAATCTGGTTTCCCCCAAAAGAAAAAAAACAATTCAGTCTTTGTAAAACCAAAGGGCTCAAGGTTAAGAACACACACTGTTACTCAAAATATTTTCAGAATCCTGAAAGATGCTCCTAAACACCTGAATGAAAGGAGATTTGCTCTTCATATGACATACTATATGTCAGGGCTGGTTTTTTTTTTTTTAGACAACCCAAGCAAAATGTTAGTATTTTATTTCCCATGAAACTTTTTAAATATTAAAATGTATTGTCAATATGTCAAAATCTACTGAGCCCCTCTGGTGACATTGGTGAACATTTTATAATTTGTGGCCTCGAAATGATAATCTGTGGCCTCAAATTAGTAATTCATGGCCGCAAATTTATATTTTGAGGATACAAAATATTATTTTGAGCCCACAAATTATTATACAATTTTCATCAGAACAGGTATTTGGTATGGATTCCCTAGTAAGCAGACTTGGTAACATAAAAAAGTACATTTAAATATTGTTTAACTTGCGTAATCAGTTGATTATCTCAGTGTGTCAAATTATTCTTGAAAGATACTCTTGGTGGAAGAATTCCAGACTTCCAGACAGCTATTATTTTAGGTTTTGTTAATATTGAGATATTCAAATGATGCAATGCTAAAACTACCAAATAAAGTTATAGACCAATGACCATCCATCATTTTTATCTGAGGTGTTAAACTGACAGCAATCACTTCTCATATCATTTAAATTGATAATGCAACACCATTATATACCTTTAGTAATAAAATATTTATTTATATTGTTCTTCCCACTGAAAAGCTAAATGTTTAAACTTCACATACATTGACTCTTTATTGCATTAGTATAGTTCTTTAGCCAAATATTTATGTTTAATGACCTATTTGACTTTCATGAACAGATAGCACATGAGCCAGGCTGCTGTCAATAATAAAAAAGAATGCCTTCTTTCAATGGAGATTTCTACACCTGAGAGCAGCAGGCCACCGCTCAGGCTCTGCTAACTAGATTTGGGATTCTTTCTTGGTATCATCTGTACCCATTTTATTGCTCTGATCTTGCTGATGGGAAGGCGTGGAGGGTGTGGAGAGTGGCTGGTAATCTAATCTACTCAGCTGCTGTATGCTGCCAAAGGGCTAAGGAGGCTGAAGAGGGAGAAGCGCATCGCATGCTTAGGAACAAGAATGTCATAGATCTTGGTCACTATACACTATATAAGGATCAAATAAAAATGCAAGGCAGGTTCAGCTGCTGCTAAGAGCTGAAGATTAGTTTGGGAGTTTGATCATTTTTTGGAAATCAATATGTTGTCCATTACAAATATGATTCAGTATCCTGTCCTTCTCAGGTCTGTCTGATGTGAATGAGTAAAGTTATGGATTTCTGTATTCATAACACAAACACCTCTGTCATTCCTGAAAATGTTTTTTTTTTTTTTTAATGTATTGTGTGTACATACCTCTGCCTGGTGATCAGATTGATGTAGTGTCTCAGCGCTGTGTAGTACTTGGCAAGCTCCTCAGGTGGGGCATCTTCACCAGGGTTCTCAGGTTTAGGGGGGTAGGCATCCGCCAGCGTTCCCAGACACATCAATACACACAGCACCACAGCTGCCAGCACTGTCCATGCTTTCAGCATCATGGCCATCTGCAATAGGGCCGCAAAGGGTTGGAAGTTATGAATTCCAGTCATCATTCTGTCGATCAGTTTAGATTTTTTATTTTATGGTTTTTGTTAATTTATTTAATTTGAGGTTTTTGTTGTAATTGTACTGCGCTAAAGTCTTTTGTTTGTAAGTAAACAATGATAAGAATGAAAATCAAACGTTGGAAATAAGAATCTATTAAAGAGTTTTGTCATTTATGGTATTTCTAGGTAGCTTCTTGATCTCGTTATGATTACTATTATTATCATTATTATTTTTACTAGTTGTACGGGGATACAAGTCGTAGTATAGGTATAGTTAGTCAGCGGCTTCTTTCCTGCTAAGAATGACTGAAAATTTACATTTTAGTGTTGCTCCCAAAATCTTTCATAACGATTAATGAACATCTTTGCTTGAAAGGTTGCGCTCTAAAAATGTCAGATATTGCTTCAAGATTTTTTTTATGTATTTAAATAAATTATGTTTATTAAAATTTGCATGATAATTAACATTTTAATCAATCTTTTCAAGAAGTTAACACATCTAGCAGAAACAAATGAGTTATTTTTTCTCTTGTTTTACCAATAACTGTAACATTGGAATGTAAGCACTTCTTATAAGGACACCAAAAATACAAGTTTCTCAAATGTGATGTATGTGCCTACACTGCATGTGGTAAACGAAAGTGTGAAAGAATTCTAGTCCACCAGAAAGCCACATCAGGTGTTTCCAAGTGCAGGTTAAGAACTACAGTATTGCTCATTGTGAAACAAAATATCTTCTTTCTCATGTTTTCTCTGCCAAACCACAAGCTGTATTGAAATATTTGTTTGTGCATGAGTTGGGTCGTGAAATGAATACATAAGCAAATATCCTGTTTAAAAACTCAATTTAAAATCCTGAGCAATATATATATTTTTAAATATCAGAAAGTATGTTTAAAGTTATGACGAGTACCAGGCCTTATTAACTGTTTGGCTGCTCTTGTGCTTAAATGCGCTTTTATCTTTTTTAACAAATACTTCTCATTGTACTTTGGGCTAAACAGCTTTGTAGGATCCTCACCGTTTCCCAAAAGCTGTATGAAGTATTCTGGTTATATATCGATTTAAAAAACTACGCGCCGCTGTCCATGGTGCTGGATAGATTCCTTGCAATCCCCTATAGAAGATTATATTAGTTTAGCTTAAACCTATTTGAGATATCTTTGAACTGATTTAATGATGGCGTTTTAAAATAAAGCCAGGACAAACATTGGTGCAGATGATAAGGACTGTCTAATAAGTAGGCTATGCTACCTTATATTACGATGTGGAGCTTTAATTTCAAGTTTAAAATGCATGCTATGAATAAAATGCACATCTCAACAGTTCAAGAGGAATATTTTGAAAAAAAGTAATTATACTTAACCAATCCAACTTTGGATTGGAAAGATGCGATGAAATAAAAGGACATCTTGCATTTTCTTTTGTTTGCAAAAGTTGAAGAAAAAAAAATGGCTAAACCAAAAATGATACACAGGAAGGCTTTTACTTAAATATATTTTTTTTTTAACCAACAACGTTGAAACTTTTCTCTGCAAAAAAAAAAAATCATCGAGTGTGCAAGCACAATTAACTTCCTTTAAAGATTTCCAGTTTATCAGTGCTAAGTGAGTCATTACAAACATTGTTCGAATTCCATGAATGCGCCTTCATGTTAAAATAATTGTTTCTATGTAGATGTAAAGAGTGAGCGCTACAAAGACTTACTTGTAGATTTTGGAGGTTGAAAGTTGAAGTCGGAGCCACAGGTGGTTTTGCACAGCAGCAGAGGACTGTTTGTTGTCTTCTCTCCTCTTTTATCTGGTTGTACTCTGCAGGTCGCTTAGTTTGGTTGGTTTCAAACTCCGACTGAGGTGATTCTTTTTTTATAGCTCACCATAGCGTGGGGGGGAGGGAGGGGTCACACCACACCGTACTGCTATTGTGCGCGCGCATGTACGCGTGTAGATGGCTGCAGAGGCCAAATGCGTCAGATGGTGATGATGATCGAGACATTACTAACGCGACGGTCACGCTGTCAGTCCTGTGTTTTTGATAGAGTTGACAGATGACATTTTGTTCCATGACACCCAGGAGCTTCCTCGCTGGAAGAAAAAAAGATGGAACTGATTTCCATCTGTTTCCTCAACAAAGCCTTTAATCAAACTTGGTTCAGACCAAACTTGCTAGAATATCCGGACAGACTAGAAATGACTAGTCTCTCTCTATATATTTATATTATAGACCTGTACCAAGATGCCTGATATTTTACATTACCGACTGCAATAATCTAATAAAGGACGTGAATAAAAACCTAATAACACACATTTTCAGTATACTCAAAGGTTTTTCCTAATGAGAGTGAGGTATCACATATCTGCAAAATATAACTTAGCCTATATGAAGGATATTAATAACAACCAACCTGTCATAACTCAACTTTCATATTCAATGAATTCTCTTTCTCTAATTACTATTCACCAAAAGCTTTACACTATTAAAGCAAACACATGATCCATAACACAAAACACTTTGCGTATTAATATGGCAAAAATTATGTTATGTGCGGAAAAATGATAAGGTTTCAGTTTCAGCTGCAAATCAAACAAAAACTAATCAGATAAATCAAATTTTACTCTAAAACATATTTGAAAGAACAATATGAATTTAAAGAGGAGACGATTTGCTCACTGTGATGGATGCTGTGTTTTAATGGGGGCTGCCTTGGAGGTTAGAAATTATTCTTCAGTTATTTGTTTTTGTTTTTTTTTACAGGGGATGGACAAATTCTGTTTGTTTTAGTTGTCAAATGGCTCTAATATTGAAACTTAAGCATGCTTCAAAGCAAGCAAGATAAGAGTGAAACTGATAACTCCTAAACTAGTAATGTAATTAAACTTCTATACAAAAAAGTACATTTTGTATCATTCTTCTCCCCTAAGTTCTGAGAATAATACAAACACATACCCAAATAAAAGTAGTTTTACCTAACTCTTAAAAATGTAGAATATAATTCTCCTCATCCTCTCATTGGTTTTCAAATAAATACTTTTATTTCCCTATTTTCTTCCCCAAACAATCGTCCATTCATGCAGCATTTATGCCCCTTTTATTGTTTCACTACCCCTTTTTCAGACAAAGAAAGGCCATAAGCGCAGTACAAAATGGTCTTAAAAGCACAGAAGTCAACTGCCTAATGTGTGTGCGTGTGTCTGTATGTGTGTGTGCATGGGTACAGCGCAAGTGTGTGTTTGATGAAACGAAATCAGCACTGAAAAAGATAGAAACATTTGATGTCAATGTTTTTAAGAGGAAGAGATCCAAATCACACTGAACCGAAAAAATTGCAATGATTTGGAAAATTAAATTGAGATGTAAACATGCAAAGGCACATACAGACACCATGAAATGTATTGGCGATAATAGCCCATTTACTGGAGTGCAATAGATCACATGCTGGTCCTGCTGATCAAACTGAATGGACCTTTTCCTTAATTTGATATTGATTTGACTACCTTATCATATGTTTGCTGCAGCTGTATAGGGCAAGTGTTAAGGTAGCCAGTCAGTTCTCATTACTGTGGAAACAATCAATGGTTTTATATTAACTATAGATCACATGACTTTTTATGAAAAAGGTCATTCGTAATAATGCGTATCATGAAAAACCTCATGTATGTCATCATGTATGTTTTAGTATCTGAAGGTCCACAACTCCTTTGGTTCACGCTCAGCTGTAACCACATGTAGAAGCTCGAGCAGAGAGCAGGGTGGGGTGGTAGAGGATTTAAGAAATGCTGGTGTTGAAAACACAGCTGAAGTCCTTCAAACGTCCCAAGTGAGCCAAGGTGCTACAGGAAGTAATGCAGCATCAGGTGGGAAACAGCAAGGGATCCCTGGGCCTGCCTTTTAAAGGATTGAATGACCACATAATACAATCTATCTCCTTTTTCCTTTCTGACACAGAAACGCCATGAGCAGTGGTGATTCTAGAGTCTACTGGGGCTTAAGGGCAAAACCTAATTGGGGGCCCTACAACCCGCATTTGTCACTATCATGTCTGCCATCGTCCAAACGCTTCCCCCTCTCCCACTTTTTTCCTGTTTCTGATTTCTCTCCTATAGATGATTATTCATCTTAATTTTTCTTGGTTGACTTTGATTGACAAACTTCCGTTTTCACAGCAACAAGGCACGCAACGCTGAGCAATGAGAGTGAGTGCTGTGCTGATGAGGCACCCTCAGGGGGCCCCTACTGGTCTGGGGCCCCAAGCCATTATTGCCTGTCTTGCCTGTTGACAAGCAGCGGTTCTGGTCATGTGGAGTCATAAAGGCACTGGATTAGCGTTAGGCATTGCTATGCTTGGATTGGAATGGTAAAATCTTGCATTTTAAAATGATGCAAATGTGTTTCTGCCCATACTGCACTTAAGTAGCCAACAGCAATGATGTGCACATTTGTGTCCAGTCTGCCCATTGTCAATTGTAATGCCTCCAAAAATGTATTATGCAGGGACTTGTGTGTGATTATGTGATAAAAAAAAGAAACTTCAGTTCAAGAGTCAACTGTTGAAAGTCATGGTAGTAGTGAGGTGTAGGTGTGTCCCTCAGCAAATGATGAGGCAGAGTGCAGTCTTAGAAGATCTGGAGGCAAATTTAAGGTGACAGTTCTCTCTTATATTCAGTCTTCTCGCTCTATTTTTCTCAGACTCCCCTGGGCTGTCTGCTCGTCTTTTGTTGCAGCACCTGTTGCAGGTCCTAAGGCCACAGATGCATCCACACATAACCCCCCCTCCCCCCAATCACACACATAAAAGCACCCACACATGTACACATGTAAAATGATTTTAGAACATCACAGACTGACAGTTTTTTCCTCTTCAAAGGATAGCCTTTACTTTTTGGAATTTGTACATTTGAATTTGAGCTAAATAATCTTATACCTTCTAAAAGATGTGGCTGTATGAGCTGCTGCAGGGATAGGAAGTACATAGGCTTTGTAAAGAAGTAGGGAGAGTATGCTTCCAAACCTTAAAAGGTGAACACATGAAAAAAAAAAAAAAAAATTACGAGTTTCTTAGAATAACTTGAACATGCATTTTTATCCCATTTAACAGTTTTTTTGGTTGTTGTATTTGCAAGAGTGCATATAGTGTTGATCAAGGATCATCGTTGCCATTATTTGTTGATCCAACTCATCAACAGGTGACTAGTTGAGAGCTCTGGTCATCTTTTCACATGATTATTCAAGACATATAGCTTCAGATCTGAGAATAATCTCATCTAAGAATCATTCCTTGCTTGAAAATTCGGTTTTAACAGCCAATAAATATATTAGACAGGTTTCCAAAAACAAACTAACAAAAAACATTTACTCTAAGTGTCTCTAGGGAACGTCATCCAGGACTTAGTCCAGTGGCAGGAGGCTTCAAACTCTGTTTAGTGAATACGCATCAACTAGTCAGAGCCTTATTCGCTGCAATTTGCCGTCACAAAGAAGCAACCATTTATCATTATTTCAAGATACTTTGAAAAAAGAGCAGGTTTTGAAATTTCTCTTTGTAATGCTATTTACAGATACCTAACTTTAATCCGCTTATCCAAGGTCTGTTTGAGATAGCAGCAGGCGAAGTAAGTTAACCCAGACTTTCCTCTCCACAGCAACATTATCCAGCTCCTCCTGGAGGATTCTAAGCGTTTCCAGGCCAGAATGGATATACATAGTAATCCCTCCAACGAACTCTGGGTCTAACATTGGGGTCTCCTCCCTGTTGGGTGTGAAAAGAAAACCTCCAAAGTTAGGCGTCCAGGAGGTATCATTATATTCCTGTTCTTGTAAAATGTACATTTTGTTGTTACTTCATTTCTCAAAAGATATCCTAACACAATAAATGCATTACTCTTTCTAATGGGTATTTATCATTAGAGATAATAGAGTTTGGGATCTGCAAAATGACTGCTCAGGGCCGCTCTAGTCTGATTTGTTATTGTGTTTTCTGATTTGTTGTTGTGTTTTTTCACTTCAGGGCCACCATAATGCCTAATGAGTCCGGTTTCAGTTCAGTTAATACATTTTTGAAATCCTTTTGGTTACAATGTAAGCGTGAATTGGAGAAAACGCTTGGCTGAGTAGTGTAAAAGAAATGTTAAAAAGACAACATTTTCTCAAATAACATTTGAAGTTATAGCTAAAGACATATAGGATCTTAAAAGAAGCTATAAATGAAGTGTAAAAATGTTTGAGATCTTAGAAGAACATGATTGAAATGAAAGATGATTTGATCTTGAAATATGTTTAATAAGATAAAAACCAAGCTTCTTGATATCTTATAATATGTTTACAGATATAAAGTAATACAAAAAAAATGCTTTTTAGGTGTGTTGAAGCCCTGTTTTTGTTGGGGGAGGTTGGCTTTTGTGTTTTTTTTGGACTTTCAGGTGAGGATTACTTTTCCAGATTTTGAAAACCCCTTACCTACATCATGAAATGTGACCTGTTGGATAGCTGCAACATGTTCTAGCTGTGAATGTAATCATATGTATAAATGAGGGGGAAAAATAAACATTCCTTAAAGAGCACGCCAGTGTATGTACACGTGTACTGAGTGTCTGTGTTTGATTGTATCAGCAGCAGCCTTTTAAAGGTGAAAGTCACCGAAGGCGGGAAGGAAGAGTGGCAGGAAACATTTACCAAGCCCTGATAAAACACACAGTTTTTTTGCTGTCTAATCACGTCACTCAGGATTGAATTATACACACCTGCACACACTCAGACACTCTTACGCAGACCCTTGCACATCTCTTACATAGATCAAACACAGAAGGTACTATAAATAGAGGTACATCAACAGTTATGTTAGCACATGTATAAACTT